AAAAAAAAAAAAAAATAGAACTGAAAATTTAGAAATTATGCTTATTGTTATATAAGTACTCAGTCTCTTGGAGGAAGGACCAAAAATGTTTTAAAAAAAAGAGAAAATGTCTATGATACCATTGCTTGTCTATACTAGAGTGGGAAAGGAAACTTCAGGCCAAGGGGAAGAAGGGGTGGGACAGCTCAGCTTCTCACTACAGGCCAAATGTACATCCCAACACTCAGGGAGGCCAAAGCTAAAGGACTACTTGAGGCCAGAAATTCAAGAGCAGCTGTGGCAAAATGTTGATACCCTACCTCTATAAAAAATTGAACAATCTGCCAGGCGTGGTGGCATACATCTGTAGTTCTGGCTACTTAAGACCCTTAGACAGGAAGATCACTTGAGCCCTGGAGTGTGAGGCTGCAGTAAGCTATGATTGTGCCACTGCATGCTAGCCTGAGCAACAAAGATCCTGCCTCTTAAAAAAGAAAGCACATTTGTATGTTATATCATGTTTATTTTTTTTGTAGAGACAGTTTCACTTTATCATCCTCGGTAGAGTGCTGTGGCATCACACAGCTCACAGCAACCTCCAACTCCTAAACTTAAGCAATTCTCTTGCCTCAGCCTCCCAAGTAGCTGGGACTACAGGTGCCTACCACAATGCCTGGCTTTTTTGTTGCTATTTGGCTGGGGCCAGGTTTGAACTGGCCACCCTCAGTATATGGGGCCGGTGCCCTGTCCACTGAGCCACAGTCGCCGCCCTATCATGTTTAAATAACATAAAAATGAGGAACACTGCTGGTACGATGGATTAAGATGCAGCTGGGTCAAAGAATAGGGCAGCTCCTCATGTACTGATATGGAAGGAACTCTAACATGCTCAGAGTGGTGGAATGGAAAAAGTAAATTGTAGATGCACAAAACCAGGCCAAGCGGTAATCTCCAAACACATAAACAGAAAAAGCTAAGCACATCCGAGGGTAGGTTACTTAGCCATATTGTTTACGAAGTTCCAACTTCTGCATCTGTGGCACTTCAGTATGAAGTTCACAGGGGCCTGTGGCATAATGAAGGAGACTTGGAGATGGCCATGGCAGTCTCGGGGATGTGACCCCAGCTGAGATCAAGGTAGTTTTGCAAGAAATGTTATCTCTTTTCATAAGATCTCTTTGGCTTGGATACTCCAGTGCCTACCATTGAGTAGGATGGCACCTACTAGCTGAATGTGGGTGCTGTTACAAGTGACCCATGTATTACACTTGGGGAAAAGTCATCTAGACCTGCACCATCCAATAGCTGACACTAGT